CCACAGGCCCACGCCCTCCGGCCCAGCCCTGGCCCCGAGGCCAGGCCGATGGGGCATTCGCCTTCTGCTAGGACAGTTTGGGGGCCGGGGGCAGCCCTGGAGCCTTTGGGGCTGGGGCTCAGGGCTGGGTCCTCTCCTAGCCCTCCAACCAGCCCTCGCTCTGGGGGGACCGGGCTCAGAGACGCCCGCCCGCCCGGTTTCTCTGCTTCTAGTCGGTGTCTTCCTGTAGCCCCGGGCTCCTCTGACTCACCGCTGGCCTCAGCAGAGCAAACACGGGGGCAGGTGTGGGTGGATGCTGGGGCCACCACCCAGCCCCATGCGGACTCACGGGGGTCAGCTCTCCACGGGGGTGGCAGACGCTGTTGCTCACCCTCCAAGTCGGGCTGTGGACCCGGGTCGGGTCGGGAAGGGAAGGGGCCTGTGACCTGGTCCCACTAAGTTTGTCGCCGGCCAATCAGCACTTCCCAGAACACAGGCTTCGCTCAGCAGAACCGGAGGCAGATCTGGTCACAGGCCCAGCCGAACCAGACCCTAGCGTTCGGGGTTCAGACTTGGAGGTTCCAGTCTGGACAGGGGCCCCCATGGGGCACCAGCTCTGCCTGCTTGGGGCCTCCCTGGGGTGTCTGTCTGGGCCCCTGCCACCACGTCCCCTCCGAGTCGAGTCGCAGAATGCGGTGGAGACCCCTGCCCACCTGCAGGGAGGCTGTGCAGGGCCGGGTGCTGGGTGTGGGGGTGGGGCTGGCACGCCTGCCCGCCTCCCTTCCTGCCCTTGATCCGCAGGGCCAGGTGCTGCCCTGCCCAGGTGCTGACAGGTGAGCGACCTGAGCAGGAGGGGGCCCGGCTGTAATGAAAGGCTGGCGGCACCGAGAGGGGGCTTGGCGGCAACCGCCTTGTGATCTATCTTCCCGCCCCTTCCGGCCCTGCTCCCCCAAACTGACCCGAGGGCCCAGGGACTGCTGGCTGCTTCAGGCTCAGGGCAGGAGGGTTCTCACCCACATTCCCACCCCACGCCCTCCGCCCTCCGAGTGGCCTGGGGGCCTGGCCATCCCATGAGGCCTTGGATGGGCCCACAGACACGGTGTTACGAGCAGTGTGTGTGTGTGTGTGTGTGTGTTTTGTTTGTTTTGTTAATCCGCACCCGAGGACATTTTTCCATTCATTTTTAGAGAGAGTGGAAGGGAGAGGGAGAGAGAGACACACACACACACACCGATTGGTTGCCTCCTGCGTGTACCCGGACGAGGGCCGGGGATCAAGCCTGCAACTGAGGATATAAGTCGAACCCGGGACCCTCAGTCCACGGGCTGACGCTCTATCCACTGAGCCATACTGGCCAGGGCTAGGCAGGCTTCAGATTGGACCCGCACTGGGGGCCCCTCCCAGGCCTCCTGGACAAATGCCGCCCCCCCTTCCCCACTCTCCTGCCTGGACCACACCTCCAGGCCCCAGTGTCCCATCAGCGATACCGAGGTCCTCCCAGCCCCTCACATGCGCCTCAGCTGGCCTTGACCTTGACCTTGACCCCTTCTCCCTGAGACCCGGAAGCACCTGTTTCTCCCTGGGGGCCACACCTGGCACCTGAACCCAGAAAACACTGAGCCGGATGCCTGAAACCTGCACACGTCATTCTTGGGCAAGGTCGTCTGCGAGGCGTCTGGGCTCCTGGCCCTCAGACTGTCCATTTCTTTCTTCCTGAGGGCTCACCAGACCCCCGACCCACCCCGCTACACACACAGCTACCGGCCGATGTCTCCAGCCGCCTCCAGGGGGCCAGATCCAGGGGGCAGCCCTCAGGCCTCCTGGCCTGGCCTGTGCAGCTGTTCACTGTGTCCACCAGAGCTCAAGGCACCCTGGCTCCTTCCTGGGCTGGAGGCGGCGGGTGTAGACAGGCCCCTGGGGATCCCGACATCTAGAGGCTGGGGAAGACCCAGAACATTCCTCCCTGGTGTCCAGTGGTCTCAGATCAGGCCCCCTGTGGCCTTTGTCTGGGAGTTTGCAAGCAGACACCCTGGGCGGGGCACCATCTGGTGACTCCTGCTGATGGTGGGAACGGAGTGCAGTCAGGATCTGCTGTGCTGGGGGGGGGCGTCCCAGGATTCCTGGGTGGCCACAGGCGATGGGTTCCCCATGGAGACAGGTGAGCCAAAGGGAGAGAGTGCTCCGGGGAGGAGGTGCCCTCACTGGGCTGGCCCTCGGTAGCCGTGATGAGCCAACCTGCTCACCAAGACAACGCAGACGCCACGCGTCGAGACAAGGAATGGCGAGGCCCAGTCGGGCTGAAACCAGAGGGAACACATGGCCTCGAGAGCGAATGAGCACAAAAGCTACTGTCCCAGGGGTGAGAGGTGCACCCTTGCTCTGAGGGGCTGGGACATAAGTGGAAGCTGGGGGTCCCCCTAAGTGAGGGTGTGTGTCTAACCAGACGTCCTCCCCACAGGAATCCAGGGCCCCCAGGGTCCCACCCACAATGAGGACCATCCCTGTAGGCGAACCGCCTGAGCTCCCGCCATCTCCTCTTCCGGGGAGCCTCAAGGCAAGGTGGCCCCGTTCCTGACGTGTATTTTGAGGTCTTTCGACTGTTCTGGGAAATCCTCACACAGTATTATTTCAAACATTAATTTCTCCCCTTCTCTCCTCTTCCAATCCCTAACATGTTATATAAGACTAGTGGCCCGGTGCATGAATTCGTGCACATGAAAAGGAAATTAATTAGAAGAAATATTTTAATATCGCTATCCGCCCTTTCTCTATAACAGACGTGTCAACCAAATTCACAATGACAGATGGAAACACATGCGTGCGATTGGCGCCAGCGAGAGCTTTCTATGTATCTCACGTGTGCGAGTCAGCTTAGCCTTTTATAGAACAAACTTGCTTAGTTACACCTGCTTTCTGATGCAGATAAACTTTTCCCAGCCCCGTGAAGCGCCCCAACTTCTCTTTCAGGTCACTGTCAGCAACACAGCAGGAAACACCAACACGAAGCAGATTATTATTGTAGATCACGCAGGGAGAACAAAGGGTGAAATATTTAACTGCAGCCGTTTTTGACTATATTCTGCGCAGTGAGAAAACCATTTCTTACTTCTTTTCAATCGGGTCACGTTTCTAAGCTTTCTAAATCTCTGTTTTCTGCCTAATGAAAAGAAAATAGGATTCCACTGAGTCTCCTGTCTACATACTCCAGGACTTCTTTGAGGATCAAATGAGATGAGGTATGGGAAAACTCTTCACAGACATTTGGTTAAAGTGTAAAGTGTTTGCACCTGGCCATAAAGCAAGGCGTGTTCCTGGGCTGAAGAACCTGCAAGGAGGCTGGTCTCTAGGGAGAGGAAGCCGGGCGTTGCTATGGGACGTCATTACCTGGACGGTCGGACATTTAGCACATTAGCAGGTGGGCAGACCTCAGCTTGGGAGGCCGGGAAGGTGGGCTTCGAGCCCCTGGGTGGGGAGCCCGCCACGCCCTGCCCGCACTCTGCCTCAGCTGAGCTGCTCTGTGCCCTGGTGACCCTGGCCCCTTGACCACCAGGCTGGCTCGGCGTTTGGCCTTTGTTTTTAACTGCCCACTGGCTCAGCTGGACAGATGGGAATTCAGTCCCCGGCTGGAGGTCTCACAGGGGTGAGGCGGGGTGGGGTGCAGAGGGCAGTGGGGGAAAGCTGGGCTCCCCAGGTCCTGGGGACGGGTCAGGCCCTGGGTCCCAGCCCTGAGCCCTGTTGGCCGTCGCT